ATAAATCTTACAGACCCCAAACTTCAAGTAAATATCAAAGTAAGTTCACTAATGAGTGAACATTATGAAAACAGTCATTGTTCAGACCTCTAACACCTTCCATGCCAATGTCTCTATCGCTCTGCCAACATCTCTAGAGTAATCAAAAAGCAAATGGGCTTTTATTATCTGTTTAAAGGCCATGTATGGATATCGAGAAATTTGCCAGTAGCAGCTTCCCAGCAGGCAAAGTACAGTCATTGGATAAAGACAAGAATCAGTGCCACCGTTTCCCCCCCGCCTTTTCTCACAAACAAATCTCACAATCACTGCTCTCTACAGATGGTGAGACTCTGTGCCATGACATCTGCTCTAATAAAGCCCATTTTTAAAAGCATTTCTCCTCTAAAGGCTGAAAAGAATCACCCAGCAGACATCATTTGTTTATTCAGCTACAGGACCGCTTGTGGTGCACGTCCTCAACTCTCTCGACACATGTTCGGATCAGGGGAGTGTAATCACGTCTTTGGTTCGTTTTTTTTTTTATATAGATGAATGTGAAAATTTGCTATGCATTTTATGTAAGTCTATGTGGGGCGGGACTTGGTTTCATCTGTTGTAAATTGATTGGAGCACAGAGGCAGATGATGGAAGGGAGGGCTTGGAAAGCGAGAAGGTTTTGTGATGATGTGAAAAGTCATTTCTGAGAAAGTTAGATTGTTGTGTTTATAGATTGCGCAGACAAATAAACAAAAAAAAAGAGATTTGTAAATCACTGAGACTGCAAAGTAAATTGACTGTAAAGTGTCTCCTTCCAGGTCAAGTAGAAGGAAGTCGAAACTCTTATTAGAGGATTCAGAGATGCATCAGAAGTTAAATAGTTCTTTTTTTAAAAGAAGAAGAAGAAAGACCGAAAGAGAGAGATGAAGGAAGGGAGAGAGAGCGAGAGAAAGAAAGACGTGGATTCATTTGGCCCCTGGCTGAAACTGTTCAGTTCTACAGTCTCCCAGCACCTGCCTAGAGATGGATCTGGCAGAGCACGACAACAGACAACAATCAGGCTAGTTACACTGCATTAATCCAGACCTCAGTATGTGTGTTTGCTTCGTGGGTCTCCTAAAGAAATGTCCGGCTTGAGTTTTACCTCACAATCTAAAGGGACACAACTCCAGTCAAGCAATTAACGTCTTGTGAAGAAACACATTTGTAAGAAACAAATCCATCTTTACAATGTTTTTAACTTCAAAACATAAAATATGAGTCTTCTACTCATAATATTGCCTCCTCCAATGAAATAGTTATCTCGTCTGAATCAGGAGAGAAATATGCACAAATCAATCAACATTGAAAACAGTTCTAAACGAATATGTTTTGATGTGAGAGGACAACAGGGCGTGGACTTTTTTACTGGAGGCTACTCATCTTGTACAGCCTGAGGGTGAGTACATTTTTAACAAATGTTCATTTTGGGGTGAACTATTCCTTTAACTAGCTAACTCGGGATGATTTCTTAGTCATTCACACAAACAAAATGAACAAAACTCTAACATCAACCAGCCTTGATGATTGACACGGATGATTATGCTAATAAATGGATTTAGTTGAAGATATTTATTACATAAAATTAATCATATTTTTATTTATTTTTTATTTTTATAGATAGATAGATAGATAGATAGATCATTTTTATGTATTTAATATATTTTATTTAATGAAATTAGTTGTTATTTTTATTGATAATTTATTTTCATATTATTATATTTTTTCAGGATCACAATATATTTACACTTTAATCTCCAGACCACTTTAGAGATGCTAGAAATTGTGGTATATATATATCCCAAAATGCCCAAAATCCAACACCTTTATATATATGTATGTGTGTATGTATGTGTGTATGTGTGTGTGTGTGTGTGTGTGGACCACAAAACCAGTCATAAGTATCATGGGTATATTTGTAGCAATAGCCAAAAATACATTGTATGGGTCAAAATTATCGATATTTCTTTTATGCCAAAAACCACTAGGATATTAAGTAAAGATCATGTACCATGAAGATATTTCGTAAATTTCGATTTTTAATTAGTAGTATGCATTGCTAAGGACTTCATTTGGACGACTTTAAAGGCGATTTTCTCAATATTTAGATTTTTTTTGCACCCTCAGATTCTAGATTTCAAATTGTTGTATCTCGGCCAAATATTGTCCTATTCTAACAATAAAAAAAACATACATTAATTGAAAGCTTATTTATTCAGCTTTCAGATGATGTATAAATCGAAGTAGCATGGTTATATTTGTTGCAATAGCCAATAAAACATGGTATGGGTCAAAATTGTTGATTTTTCTTTTATGCCAAAAATCCTTAGGATATTAAGTAAAGATCATGTTCCATGAAAATATTTTCTAAATTTCCTATCGTAAATATATCAAAAATTAATTTTTGATTAGTAATATGCATTGCTAAGAACTTCATTTGGACAACTTTAAAGGTGATTTTCTCAATATTTAGATTTTTTTTGCACCCTCAGATTCTAGATTTCAAATTGTTGTATCTCGGCCAAATATTGTCCTATTCTAACAATAAAAAAAACATACATTAATTGAAAGCTTATTTATTCAGCTTTCAGATGATGTATAAATCTCAATTTTAAAAAAATTGACACTTATGACTGGTTTTGTGGTCCAGGGTCCATATATATATATATATATATATATATAAAGGTGTTGGATTTTGGGTGTGATGCTCTCAGTTCAGATGCCAGTCGCCATCCAGACCTGCATTAGTCAAACTTTTCCGTGTGAGCTGTTTCTACATGAAATCATTTATCACCACAAACCAATTCAAGTCTTTCCTCTAAAACTGACCTTGTTGGTTCTTTCTGAATGTTTTACAGATTGTACAGTATTGATCTGACAAACCTGTACTGTGAAAAAGATCACCAGAGAGTCATTGAGTTCAAGAACCACTTACATCAAAATATGGTTATTTGCTTAAAGAACCTTTATTTTGAAGTTTACATTCATCTAGTCCGTTTAATTAGATGTTATATAATTCAACTAACTTTCTCTAATGTGTGTGTTTAATTCCAGCCGTGTTGTGCATGTGTTTTCTGGTACTCCACCGGACAAGCTTTGCTTAAAAGGCTACATGATCCCCGGCACATCCTGAAATTAACAGGCTTACAGGACCATAAATCTCATTTATTTTCCCCGTGACCTGATTTCTTCTAGCGCTTTGAAAAGCTCTCCGTATAGCCCTTATAGACACGATCCTGTGGGAATTACTGCAGTTTAACCTTTCTTTTCTTGTTTTAATGCTGAGGAAGCATTTCTGACATGCTAACTTTGTCACAATGTAGTAACCAAAGTAATTTTGTCTTCATATTATCAGCCTAACTTACTGTAGTTCTGACTTCAGGGCATTTATGTCACATATTTCCAGCAAGATGTACATCAGTGTCAGATTCACCTTGAAAGTGACCTTTTATGTGATGCTGAAAACACATGGCATGTGCCTGATTATAAAGGAGCTTTTTTTGACAGAAGCAGGGTGAGCTGTGCAGCGTTTAGTCTTGACCCCGTTTTAAGGAGCCTGTGGTGGGATGGGGTTTGACTGGGTCACTGTAATCAGGCAGCAGTCAGACTTTGCTCCAGTGTCATGACTTATACTAGCTCCTGCTATGTATTTAACCTTTACCTTCTGCTGACGGTTGTTCCTTCACTTTGTAATTTTAGAGAGAAGCCGACCGAAGAGGCCAAAGCCGAGACGAGCAAAACGTCAAACGTCAAACCCAAACCAGCAAGCGCTGCGGCGAACCTTGATCCGGACGACCTGTTCGATGATATATGACCCTCTTTGGGGCCTAATGAGCACCGTTTGTGAGAAGCATGACTTTTGTACTGTTTTTAAACTGTAGGAGTAATAAAATTGTGTGTTTTAAAAGTATTTTTATAGTAAAGATTAATTGGCTCTATACTAATAAACAATAAAAGTTTAAAGAAAGAACACTACTTTTTAATGGCAAGTGAAGCAAAATTATGAATAAGTCAATTTTAACTCTGTAAGGTGTGAATAAATATAATAAATGTGAATAAAGATGTGATTTTCTCATTCCCTAAGTAGTGATATTTCAAAATGGATTTCTATCTATCTATCTATCTATCTATAAACTGACTTCAAACAATGTTTTGCAATACTGCTTTCATATTCTCATTGAATTTACAGTTTGATGTAGGCCTACTATCCACTTAAACAATACGTGATCGAGTTTCAGGACATTTTATCTGACTTTTATGTACTATTTATGTAAATGCTGGTAACTTTACTTTTGCAAATGCAGCATTGATGAACACATTAAAAAATCTTACCCACCTTAAACTTTTAAACAGCAGGGTATGAATTTCAACCCTATACCTTGATTTTGATTTGTAATCTCACACACACTGCAATAGCCAAATCAAATCAATGGTGCAGGTGTTTTCTAGAGGAGGTAACGGTGCTGTCTCTCCCCCGTGTGGAAAGCTCAGGCAAGCTCTTATAAGTGGAGTTGGGCAGTTCACAAGAGTAATTTGGTCGCTTTCACACCCCTTAATAACCCAGTAACTCCATCAGCACCTTCTCTGTCTGATTATCATTGCGCTGTCAGACCGCGCGCGCAGTGAGATACAGATGCGATTTTACGCACGACTCCGCGTAATACAGAGAGCTGCTTGATGGTCAGGACTGTGAATGTTCAGTGCATATCTAAGCTGTAAAATGAATACTCATTTCATTTGCGAAGTTGAATCGAAGACTGTCTCTTATGTTAGCTCCCACGGGCGCGTGCAGTTTGGATTTTGCGCGAAAATGTTCCAAGATTCCGCAATGCATTCATAATAAAGTTAGTCAGAGAAACAACTAACTCATTTGTTTTTAATTACTTATAACCCAACCTACATGTTCAAGCTAACTGATCAGTGAATCAAGGTCCAGTTTGCACCAGCTCGAAGAGCGCAGAACATCTCCGTTCATCTTCAGCAGGATGCATCAGATTCTTTTTTGGGTGGGCACTTTCTGCCCCTCCTCTGGAAACTGACGAAATCATGGGTGGACATGGAATTTGAACTTGCTGCCGGCTCATGTCTCCAGTCTTTCCGTGGGCACCAGGGAAAGAAAGAGCACTGAAGTCTGCTGCTCACTATTGGAGCATCAGAGATATTTGCACTTTTTTGCGAAGGGTTGCATTTGGAGAATCAGGAATAGCCAAGACTGCCTACAGGAAAACGTAAGTTCTATTCTATTCTATTAAAAACAATGATGTCCTAATTGATAAGTGATGAATATTACTATTATTTCACATTAACAAGTCCTTTGCTGTGGTTAATGTCCATTGCATCTTAATTTGACCATGTTCTGCTCGCCGTCTTTTGATATTAGAGCAGATTTTACCTCAGTGCATCTCTTTGTTTCTCATTTGATTGTGTTGTCAGAGCTTGTCTGTCGCCCTGAAGCTTTGTTTGCGTTTGACATCTTCTCAGTGGAGATCCACTTATCATTATCTCATCACTATCATTGTAACACCAGCTCTGCTTTAATGCTGATAACTGAGAATGTGAGCTTTGGATTCATTTTCAGAAAAGCTTTTCGTTTGGTCTGGTGTGATTGATCGGTCTTCATTTGCACGCGCACTCGTGCTGGAGATTTTCACGGTGATTGTTGCGTGAAGGTGCTTTATATATCGCTCTCTAGTGTTTGATAGTGTGTACTATATAGGGCGTGTGTGACTGTCACCACAGCTGTCACAAAATGATCTTTGTGTTTCCGAGGAATGAGTAAAGTAGGACTGTCCAGTATATTAAGATGGAACGTATACATCCTTTTTAACCGCTAATTATGAATGAAGCTTTCATAAACACGTTCTGTGTCTGATGGCAAAGCCATATATTGAAATGATAAAGGGAGACAGGAGAGCAAACAGACAGTGGGTGTCTAAAGACCCTGTTGGACCTGGAACAAAGACATAGACGGACATTAAACACAGGCAGTTTGACAACCAACCCACGTTTAAGAGTAAACTGTAGCTGCAAACGCAAAACGAACTAAACTCATGACTGGCTTTTACCAAATGAAAAGCTTTTATGTATTTATTTACAGAACTGAGATGTTATTGGACGTTAAGCACATCCTCTGGTTGGTCTGCGCCTGCAGCGCTGCTGTAACCAACGATGGTGAGTTTTGGAGTGTTTTAAGGCGTTTTTTTAATTCTTTATTCTCATTAAAATGATAAACTTCTGTCCAAACCTTTAAAACTAGGTAAACGCTATAGGGATGCAGTGATGTTAGTATTCTAGCTGATAAGCCAGTTATCATTTTCATTTGATGGACGATATCGATCCGTGGAAGATATTCAAATTATCAGGATAAAACATTTGCATGTAATGGCCGATAACAGTTAAATGGCAGATATTCCAATTTGATACTATTTTTCATTTAAATGATAAAAGTGAATTTAGGCATCACAACATTATCTATGATATGAAAAATATTCATATTATTTACATTTATGCATTTAATGCTTTTATCCAAAGCAGAGGAACAAATATGCCAACCATTTGTCAAAGAATCAACACTCTAAAAATGCTGGGTTGTTTCAACCCAACTTTGGGTCAAATATGGACTAACCCAACTTTTGGGTTAAAAATGTAATGTAAAAATTTAACCCAGCGGTTGGGTTAGTCCATATTTGACCCAAAGTTGGGTTGAAACAACCCAGCATTTTTTAGAGTGAACAATTGATTAACTATATAAATATAGTGTATGGAGTACTAAAAATATTCATAAAATCAATGTTATTTATTATAATAGTTGTAAATATTATAATAAATATTATAATTAAATATGTTCTAATATTAGCCTAAATATTTTTTTTAATTTGTTAAAGCTTATATTTATTGGTGTTATTAAAGTATTAGTGTTTTTAGTGTTACATGATGACAAAAGTAACTGAACTTAAAATTAGGAGAAATGAGTGTGCACATTATGTAAAATCAACTAATACAATGATATATTTAAAAAAAAAAAATCTGTAATATCGGTCAGTAACCGATATGAAATGCATCCCTTGTAATCATTGTAAACCAATAGCAATCGCTCAGCACTTCCTGTGTCGTGTGCTAAACGACTACTTCCTGTCTGCTACAGTGTTATTTTAGTTTCGCTGATGTACTATTGGTTTTTGTTAACATTTTGAATTATAATTCGAATATCAAAATATTAAAATATTTTTAATTTTAGTTAACATTTTAGTAATTTTTTATATCGTTTTCATTCTGTTTTAAGGTTAGTTTATAGTTATTTTTGTACTTAAACTTTTTTATTTAAGCTAGATGCCATTTATTATTTTTGTTTAGTTAGTAATATTCTAAGTTTAATTTTTTTAGTTAATACTTATTTAATTTCACGTAATGTTTTTTTTTATTATATAGTTTTAGTTAACGATAATAGCCCTGGTCTGCTATAAGTGACTAGTACTGTATGAGAGATGAACTGCAATGTTTTTGGTTTATATAACTGTTATGTTTCTATTAATATCGTAATTAAGCAGTATGGTTAAAATATTCAGTCTCAATGGAAGCAGAACACTTGAGTGTTGTTTCAAAGCTTCCAGCAGATGATATTCTGACGTTCCTCTCCTCCATCTGCTTCTTGTTTGCAGACTCCGCTCGTAGGATGAGGGTGGAGAGGAGTTCTCCGGTGAAGGGCTCGCTGGCGGAGCAGGTGGTCCTGCCCTGCTATTTCTCCATCCTCCCGCCTCCTACCGGCAGCTCCAGCACCTCCACCACTGCAGCCACGGCCACGGCCTCCAGCGCCCACCCGGACCAGCTCCGCATCAAGTGGACTAAACTCGTGGGCGATGAGGAAATCATAGTGATTGTGACCCAGAATGGGTTCCTCAAGATCGGGCCGGAGTTTAAAGGCAGGGTATCGATTACCAGCCACTTTGAAGATGTGGGCGACGCGTCTCTGACCATAGAGAGGCTCAGGGCCAGTGATGCGGGCGCTTACCGCTGCGAGGTCATGCACGGCATCGAAGACACCCAAGAGTCCGTCTCCCTGAATGTCAGCGGTCAGTCATTCTCTATGCAAATTATGAAAGGAATACATGTTCCTGGTTGAACTGTAATCATATGAACCTCCAATTGCCAGTCAGTTTTGTTACAGAACAACTACTTTTCAGGAGTTTCTTCTGGAGTTAAAATTAGTTTAAAAATGCTATTTATAAAAAAAAATTATATTATTTATTAAATGTATAAATACTGTGTACTGAGTATTAAAATATCATAATTAATATATAATATTAAAATAATGTTTAAAATTATTATAATGAGTAATTTATTACTATGAAAAATTAATTTTGAGATTTGCTAAAGATTAGATTTATTTTGTATATTTATATAATTACTGTATATTTTTAGATTTATAGATGTTATTAAATTATTAGTGTTTAATAAAAAATTAAACAATAAAGGTAATCTAAATGTAAAAATAGAGGAAATTAGCATGTTAAATTAAATATTTAAATTATAATATTATAATTAAATATTCATTAATACTTATCACATATTATAATTAAATATTCCCTATTTTTTTATATTATTTCAATGTTTTATTTGTTAAGTGATCTCACTTTTTATGATCCAATTAAGTCTGGCCCTACATTTATCTCACATTTCATCTGGAAATATAATATATTGTTGTTTGTAATATATGGTCTTTTTAAATATTAGACTTCAAAGGTAGTTTATATTTAAAAATCGAGGTAATGAGCATGCAAAATGTAATATTTTGACTAATAATATTATAATTATATATTAATTAATACTTATTAAATACTGTAATTAAATGTTAATTAATATTATTATTATTATTATTTTAAGATTTTAACTTGAAATGAGGCCAATTTTCATGATCCAGTTCAATCTTGGCCTAGATTGTTCATGTTATTAAAGTAAAATGGGTTGCGAAATAATGTATGACTTGAAAATATTAACACTATTTATTTAAGTGAAATTGTTCATATTATTTATTAAATATTATATTAATTTATATTAAATATTCACTTTGATATTTGCAAATTATTTGATCATTTTAGACACGTACAATTATATTTTTTGATTTATCAGTGTTATTAAATTATTATTGTTTTTAAGGATGAGACTACAATGGTGATCTAAACTTAAAAATAGGGGAAATGAGCATGCAAAATATTTTTTTTCTTTACCATGATATATACTATATATATTTTCTCATGTTTCATGCGGATATATATTTATCAGTATGTCACGTTGCAAAGTCAAATGGTGTTTCTTTAACTTCCTTCAGCAGGATTCCCATTGACAGCAATGGCTCTCAGATGTGCTGCACTTTTTTACTCTCGTAAGCACATGTGATGATGCAGTTAGTCATCGCTAGCCAAAATGGAACAGTGTTCCTGTCAGGAGGCAAGAGGGGGGAAGATTATTTTGCATTAGAGTCTGGAAAAATCACTTTCAGAGTCTGGATTTCCCTCGAATCTTGACAAGGCCCTATTGTGTTTCTAAGTAATAGAAAGGCAGGGTGAATGATTTGTGTTTTAATCAATACAAGAAAATGTTAAAGCTTTTTTTTTTTTTTGGTTCCTTGAATGACTGCATTATGAACGAATGTCTGAAAAATCATTCAAGAAACAGTTTTCTTGCAAGACAGTGCCATGCAAAGATTGAAAGTATACAGTGTATTCAAACATACACTTTTTGAATGTGTATGCACAACACTCAAACATTATACATGCAGTATTAAACCTGAAACATTCATCCAACAGAAAAAGTGAAAGAAACTGCTAAAGATCTTATAGGTGTATTTGTTGTGCAAACGTGTAAGACATGAGCACATCTGGCTCAGGTGAGACGCTGCTGTTGGAGTGTTTGTAGGCCCATAGAGAGCCGTGTGCCTTCAAGCCAAATACACTCAATGCCCTCTTTTGGGGCCCGGGCAGTGATGATTGCTACTCAAGGTTAGCGCCTACCCAAAAAACACACTGCCATCCCTCTGAGGAAAGAGCATTCAGAACCTGGCACGTCAGCCAGCAGCTCTGCTAATGTACCCAAAAAAGACTAGAAAAGCCCATAAAAGGGCAAATAACAGAGGCATACTGCATGACCTCTTCTGAGCCTTATTAGTAGTGTTTGCTAAAGCAATGATCACTAGTACTGTTGCTCATTTGTGTTACAGTATTACATTTAACATGTAATTCCGCCTGTTTATTATGAATATATGATTTATGAATTTTTGTCCCCACTCCCCCCCTTTTAATTTTATTTTTCATTTGCAAACCTTCTTCTAAAAGTTGTGTGCATAAATGTATCCACTTTCTTTAGTAATTAGTAATTCGTTTTTGGAATTAATTAGTTTTTGTAATTTTGTGTGTGTGTGTGTGTGTATATACAGTATATATACAAAAACTAAATTAACAATAAATATATTTTATCATTTTTTTTTTTTTTTGTTGTTGTTTTATTTTGTTTCATGATTTAGCTGTTAGACAGTTAGCACAGTAAAATTCTCTTAGAATTTATATTTTATTTTTAATTTTATTTATTTATTTGATTTGATTAATTTGCATGCTTTATCCTTCTTGAAAATGTTGCATCCATAAATTCATTCTTTTTTTTTATTCATACACATGCAGATGGATGTCTTTGGCCATTCCACTGCATCATGCACCATTTTTTCCCTTTCTTTCTTTTCGAGCAATCTGCCGTAATCATAGTGTTTTCAAGATATCCAGCTTTTAAAATCTTGTGTTAAGATCTGTCTGCCTGTTTTTGAGCACTCACAGATCATATACAAACCTATTTTGAAGACTTTGAAGTTATGTCAGATAATTGCCTTTTAGCACCATTTAGGGATACTGTACAGGAAAATAGTTCAAATGAGTGTATAAAGAGTGGAGCGATAAAGTCAGTTTTGATATTTTGATGCTGTGTAATGCTGTGAGAGCAATTACTATTCAGATCATGTTCAGTATTTGACACGACAGGTTCCTAAATAGCTGAACAATACAATGATTCTTCATTTTTGCCGGACAACAGCTTGTTGTTGTGGCTGAAACTGTCAGTGTTCAGTACAAAAGCAGCCCTCTTGCCCATTTGTTGTTAGATGTCCGAGACTTATCATTTGCACTTATATATTGTTGCTCTTTTGTTAGTTTTGACTGCTTTTATTGTCCTCATTTGTAAGTCGCTTTGGATAAAAGCGTCTGCTAAATGACTAAATGTAAATGTCTAAATGTAGATGATATGCATATCATGTGACCATATGACCACCTGACTTGAGGGAAAATCAAATTGTTGAATAAATACATTACCATTGAAAAGTTTGCGGTTGGGAGGACTTTTTTAAATGTTTTTGAAAGACATCTCTTAAGCTCACCAAGGCTGCACTTATTTATCAAAAAGTACAGGATAAACAGTTATATTGTGAAATATTATTACAATTTAAAATAAATGTTTCCCATTTAAATATATTTTAAATAAAAATGTATTCCTGTGAGGCAAAGCTGAATTTTCAGCGTCATTACTCCGGATCCTTCAGTAATCATTCTAATATGTTGATTTGCTGCTTAAAAAAAACATGTATTATTATCAACATTGAAAAAAAAAAAAGATTTGCTGCTTCGTATTTCTGTGGAAACAGCGATACATTTTTTTTTTCAGGATTCTTTGATGAACAGAACAGAAAAACCGTGTTTATTTGAAATAGAAAGCGTTTGATATTCTAAATATATTTAGTGCCACTATAGATCAACTAAATGCATCCTTACTGAATAAAAGTATTCATTTCTTTCTAAAACCCCACAATTTTGAACTGTAGATGGTGGTCTTGTCAGGTATACAAAATATTAGTGTTTCACAAACAAAAACATCCAAACTGCTATGTAAGATTCGATCAAATGAGTTTACCTTTGGTTCATGAGCTTGATTTCTGTTTCGTCGCAGGTGTTGTGTTTCATTACCGCTCCAGCACCAGTCGCTACACTCTAGATTTCGAGCGCGCCAAGCAGGCCTGCATTGATGTGGACGCCACCATCGCCACCGCAGAGCAGCTTCATTCAGCCTACGAGGACGGATTTGACCAGTGTGACGCCGGATGGCTGGCCGACCAAACCGTCAGGTGCTTTCTCCAGCTCCAGACTCGAAGCTATGACATGCTATGTATGTTTGAATATTACTGATGTGAGAAGCGCATCTGGGGTTGTTCTCCACAGATACCCCATAACCAGGCCGCGTGAAGGCTGCCACGGCGATATGATACTGAGGCCAGGAGTCAGGTCATACGGACTCAGAAATTCCTCTGAAACGTATGATGTGTACTGCTATGTAGGAAAACTGCAGGGTAAGTTTAGAAATCAGCGGGTTTCTCCTCACTTGAAACACACGAGAGACTCACGCTGTGTTCACGTCGTGTCAGAATTACTATAATTATGAGATGACAGTTTGGAAAGTCTGCTCTGAGCTGTTCAGAAATTACTTGTTTCTATGGCAATGTAGAAATAGTTGTTTTTTTCATTGCAGTAATGAGAATTTGAAGGGAAAATGTCTCAATGTGAAAAATCTTAATGGTGCACATATATTACATTTATTATATATTGATTTATTTTTTAATCAATCAATCCATGTTTGGCTTTATTGGTGAGTGGTAATTTACTATATTCTCTTGAAAAATGTATGTCTTCATTTAAAAAAAAAAAAAAATCCTAAAAAATGATTGGGTGAATCTCATGGAAATAGTTATTAAATTATAATATAAAATTATATTTTCAAAAAGAAAAATATAACAAATTTTACTATAATGTACAAATACTTGTATTGTTTTTTTTTTAAACAATACCGTTATTTAATCACATTTTTCACTATAAAAAATACAAATATAATTTTTTCATTACAGTAATGAGAATTTGGAAGGGAAATTTGACATGAAAACAAAAATCATAAATGTCCACAAATATTTATTTATTTATTTATTTTATTTTTTTGAAGAATTTTTAAATAAAATAAATAGAAATAGATCCATGTGTGGCTTTATTGGTGATTATAGCAATCTAATTTAATTGCATCGGTAAATTACTTATATATTGTTTTGTAAAATGTCTTGATCATGCAAATCCTAAAATTTATTGGGTCACCCCGACATTGAAAGGAAAAAAGAAATTAAGAACAAAAGAAAAATATAACAAATATTACCTATATATATATATATATATATATATATATTTTATTTATTTATTTATTTATTTTTATATATAAATAATAAATGTATTTTTATTTTAATAAATAATAAATGGTTATATTTAAAGTTTGTAGAATTGCAGTCTGGGATTGCCTTATTTGTTATGAATGTGCACTGGACAAAAGGTGATGTGTTATTGTGTGTGTGATCTCAGGTGAGGTGTTTTTCACTGCTGCTGATGCTAGGATGACTCTAGCTGAGGCCAGGGAGGAGTGCGAGAGACAGGACGCAATTTTAGCGTCTCCAGGTCACCTGCATGCAGCCTGGAGGGCCGGCTTGGACCGCTGTGACTTCGGCTGGCTGTCTGACGGCAGCGCCCGCTACCCCATCTCTCTACCCAGACAGCAGTGCGGCAGAGGACAGCTGGGCGTGAGGACAATGTACCGCTTCCTCAACCAAACCGGATTTCCTTTACCGAGCGAGAAGCTGGGAGCTTTCTGTTTCAAAGGTAAAGTATGTCTTCAATAAACGCTCATGACAAAAAAACAAAAACAAATCCTTAAAACTTACTGCGTGAATCACACAGAAACTTCACAATCCAAAGAAGAAAAGAAGAAATTATTCATTCACGTTTATTACTATAGCAAATTTGACAAAAAAAACTCTGTTGACTGATGTGATTTCAAATATATCAGCAAGATTTTTAAAATAAGCTATTTTTCATATTTTCATAAAGAAAAGTAAACCAGTTTCAAGGTGCATTAGGCAAGAAATATTACCAATACTTTTATTGTTTTATTTAAACTGTTTTGCTGTGATATCATAACAGCTGTGACTCTGAGCGGACCTTTCCTCTCTCTCTGCTAGCTGGGTGGAAGCAGAATAATTCGTTCTCTCCAGGGCGTCCTCAGATTTCATCTGTTAAACCTCTGTCCTACGTCTAGCTCAAATTTGTGCCTTAAAACGGCAAACTAACTGACCTGTTTTCAGGTCAATTCCGCTGCCCACAACGACTACGGCCTTTGAACCCCGTAACTGTCCTGCTGGGGGTTGTTGAAACTCTCCGTCTGTGCAACCTCAGTCGTCACTCGAGAGGGAAAATGGAAACAGGCCACACAAAAGCAGCGCTTAACATGCATTTAATCCGATTTTACATTGGGTATCTCCTTTTCACCCCCTTCCTCCAGGGATTTTGTGGCTTTCTTGTAAGCTGCGGCTTGTTTTATGTAACCGGTCTTGAAGCACTTCTCTTAAATGGACTTCTACCGCAGAGTACCGCAAAACAAACAAAAGCACCCTGGATAGGCCAAAAAAGAGCACGGAGGGCAAGAGCGCCCCACTATAATATATAAACAAGTGCCAGTGGGGGGATGTGGCTTCCTCTTGTGCTGTTTCAAGATCACTGGGGTTTTATAAGGGAAAAAGATGCCTGATGTTTTACATCAGAGGCGCTGCATAGAAAAGAGGACACATCCCTAACGTCTAACAGCTGGCTCTTGTGTGTCCACACACTGAGTCAGAGACAAAGAAGCACTGAGATACCCTTGTCATTAGCAAAAGTGGGAGGCTTTTGTCATATTGTCATAGTATTCAGGTATTTTATATTCTCTTAGCCTGTTCATGACATGTGCAGGCTTAAAGAAAGATGAAGATAGATCTACTGTTCAGATGAAGAGACTGAAGGAAGCAAAGATGGGTGTGGGCTTTTGTCTGTCCACAACACTCTGCATAACTTTAGCATTATGCATCTGAAATGCTTCTTGTGTAAAACCGGATTTAAAAGAACATAAATTATCAAATGCAGTGAAAGAACAACAATTGGTGGTTAGTACTGAAAACAAGCGTTTTGTCACATAAGTCAGACCAAACTCTCAGTGAAATGCTTCTAAGAACATGCAATAGATAGAAATCAGTTTTTTTTTCAATAGGTTGTACATTCAACATATTGAACAGACATTGTTTAAAAGTTTGGGATTGGAACGATTTTGTAATGTTTTTGGAAAAAGTCTCTTATGCTAACCAAGGCTGCATTTATTTAATTAAAAAAAAATGTGATAAATTATTAAAAATATTGTAAAATATTATTACAATTTCAAATGACTTTTTTCTATTGAAATATATTTTAAAATGTAATTTATTCCTGTGATGCAAAGATGAATTTTCAGCATCTTTACTCCAGTTTTCAGCGTCACATGATCCTTCAGAAATCATTCTAATATGCAGATTTGCTGAAACAATTCAATCCTGCTTAATTTTCTGCAGAAACCGTGAGGCATATTTTTCAGGATTCTCTGATTAGAAAGTTCCAAAGAACTGCATTTATTTAAAATAGAATCCCTTGTCACTTTTGATCTCCTTGCTGAATACAATTTATTTAAAAATAAAAAATGCTGACCCCATAGTTTTGAACAGTAGTGTACAGTATGTCTATCTCTCCCAGCCTCTTTTTTATTGGAAAATTTTAATATAGCATCTAGCCTGGTCTTATAAGGTCTATAAGGACCTCATGTCATATTGTGTCACAGTGCTGCTGTCATTAAAGGAAAAGAAGTCACACCACATACTAAGACATTTTGAAATCCATGTATATTTTTTAATTCAGACAAAAAATAGAGGCCTTTTCACTTGTCCTTTCAGACTTTTGGACCCCCACTCTATTCCCCTGCATGCAGCCAGATTGGTGACTGCCATACATGTCATCATGAATGGTTTTAACGTGGTGTTGTTGAAACTCTCTGAGTCAAACCCTTGGAAGCCTGCCAACATGTCATACACACAGCAGCTATATGTGTATGAACAGACAAGAGTGAACATTATAGTGTCGTTAACTTGGCCATTTTGAGTTTTTATATAGGTCCATGAAAGTGTGTCAGAGCTAGCATGCATGTAGACAGCAGTGTTATGGTTTGATTTATTGATTGTGAGAATGAGACTACGTTGGCACTTACATTATGAAACATTCCAAGTGCACTTATTCAAGACTATTTACCTACTGGTCAGAGTCAAAATATGTGGTTAGGCAAAATGCAACCTAGCCAAAAATGTTCTGGAAAGGAAGCTAAAGTTTCGAAATAAATATAAACTGTCAGGTTCTACCCTGTCATAGTGCGTCATTTTCCCAAAATAACTCGTTACCAGCCAAAACAAATCCCTAAATACTTAGGCGATTCTGCTGTTATTGGCATTTTGTAGAAATATCTTGACTTTGCTGCCAGCCATTGCACTTACTTGGTCAATATTAATAGACTGAGGGCTGTGTCTTATTTAGGATAAAACTCCAAAAGTATTCTACAGTGCTCACCTTAATAACACCTCATAAAAGTGACAGTTTCGTCTATCACAATTTAATGCATAGAGACATATAGGTTGACGATGTGGCACTTTCAAAATTTCTCTGTTTGTTTGGGCAGTCTGACTTGTCAGTAAATTGTATAAATATGGGTCAGACAAGCTGAAAAATTGAAGCCATTCACAATTGAAAACCATTATTTTGTAATTCAATCTGTTGCCACTAAAGCTACACACTTCACCTTGAAAAGTATTTACAAAATGCTTGGTCAAAATTAAATTTTTTCCTTTTCTCTCTGTTCTCAGGATGGGATCCCACAACTGTACCCCCAGCTGGACCCACAACACCTCCGGTTCTCATAGACAGCCATCTAATCTCTTCCCTTAAAGCAGTCTCTTCTATGCCAGCCCATGGCACCACAGAAGAGCCACCATACATGTTCTCTGCAAGCATGGCTCCACGTGACAGAGGCACTCCTGAAGCGTATCCCTCTGCTAAAGCCATTGCTGTTGTACCAACTGAAGCTGAGAGAAATTTGGATATGGAAACCACAACATTTAATGACTATGAAGACAAAGACAGCTCCTTGGTGCAAGGGGTACCCCATAGTGTAGATAACTACTTTGCTGTCCAGTTACCCTCAGCTACACCTACCACACCTGAAATGCCACATTATTCAGATTCAGTCTCTTCTATGCCAGCCCATGGCACCAGAGAAGAGCCACCATCCATGTTCTCTGCAAGCATGGCTCCACGTGACAGAGGCGCACTTGAAGCGAATCCCTCTGCTGAAGCCATTGCTGTTGTACCAACTAAAGCTGAGAGAGTTTCGGATATGGAAACCACACCAGTCCCTACTACACCTGAAATGCCCCATTATTCAGATTCCTTCTTCTCTATCCAGATTCAACGTCAGTCCACCGCAGGGAACATGCATCCTGGTTTGAAAACTCCGCATGGGGGAGACAATGATGTGGAGGGTAGCAGCAGTGGTGACATGGATACTTCTGGGAGTGTGATTCCTACTTCACCTGTGTTTACTACAGACTTGCAAGGAGATCCAGACAAGCCAAAAATTGTGTACAAAGAGGATGAAACCACAGCAAACATGACTGAAGGAAGTCTGGACTTGGCTGAGTCCACTTTGCTAACCCCAGATTTAAGTAAAGTGAACTTGCACAGCCAACAGATTGATGCCAAGAAGGACGATGACTTTCCACTGGGCATCAATGTGTTCATATACAACATTACGCAGAGAAATCAATCAGGTAGGTCAGATGGAAGTGTCATACACACAGCAGATATATGTGTATGAACAGACAACAGTGAACATTATAGTGTCGTTAACTTGGCCATTTTGAGTTTTTATATAGGTCCATGAAAGTGTGTCAGAGCTAGCATGCATGTAGACAGCAGTGTTAGGGTTTGATTTATTGATTGTGAGAATGAGATGACGTTGGCACTTACATTATGAAACATTCCAAGTGCACTTATTCAAGACTACTACTCTACTGGTCAGAGTCAAAATATGTGGTTAGGCAAAATGCAACCTAGCCAAAAATGTTCTGGAAAGGAAGCTAAAGTTTCGAAATAAATATAAACTGTCAGGTTCTACCCTGTCATAGTGCGTCATTTTCCCAAAATAACTCGTTACCAGCCAAAACAAATCCCTAAATACTTAGGCGATTCTGCTGTTATTGGCATTTTGTAGAAATATCTTGACTTTGCTGCCAGCAATTGCACTTACTTGGTCAATATTAATAGATCCGCATGGGGGAGACAATGATGTGGAGGGTAGCAGCAGTGGTGACATGGATACTTCTGGGAGTGTGATTCCTACTTCACCTGTGTTTACTACAGACTTGCAAGGAGATCCAGACAAGCCAAAAATTGTGTACAAAGAGGATGAAACCACAGCAAACATGACTGAAGGAAGTCTGGACTTGGCTGAGTCCACTTTGCTAACCCCAGATTTAAGTAAAGTGAACTTGCACAGCCAACAGATTGATGCCAAGAAGGACGATGACTTTCCACTGGGCATCAATGTGTTCATATACAACATTACGCAGAGAAATCAATCAGGTAGGTCAGATGGAAGTTCAGACAATTTCGTCTATGCAAAGTTCAAAGTATGTGCAAAAAATTTCACTTAGTATGTGCAAAAAGTTCATATAGAAGCTAATTTTACCAGAGCAAGACAGTATCCAAGTATACAATACATTGACTTCTTGAACCAGTTTTGCTTGTCCTTTCCTATTTTGGTGTGGCAGTGTTTTTCTGTGATTGTTGCATGTCCAAAGCAGCATGTTGTAAATGAGTGACTTGGTTTAGGAAACACTGAGATGCAAAATGAATGTAGATCTTGGCTAAAGAGAGGCCACATTTGGCTCTGTCGAGACGCCTACTGCTGTCTTGCAAACAAAAGATTTGGACTTGGTCCTTTGATTTCATGCAATTGCTTTAATATTTGGTTTGTGCCAAATCTTTACCTCATCCAGAAGTATAGCTAAACTAGTGGTGCTGCCTATATGCATAAAGAAGAGAAGAGAAACAGATCTTCCATGACTTCCCATGACCTTAATTGACTTCCCGTGTTGCTGGAAATAGTGATGACTGAGGTTGATAAACATCTGTAAATAGACTGCAGCCAGTGTTCCTGTCTTGTAGGTCCTGTGGGTCGACATTAATCAGTTGACCCATTTATACTGTGTGATACTTTTAAAGGGGCACCTACTCTCGTAAAACATCAAGGAGAGACAGGTTTTGGTTGTGAGAAAGAGTAGCTCTCAAAGCCACAGACAAATGCCTCCCAGGTCAAATGGCAAAGCCCCTTAAAACAATCAGAGAGGTAATCACTGCAAGCTAATTGCTTTTCCTTACCTCGTCCAGTCTACAGATCATGTTACCATGTGTGGCTGCTAGTGAATCCACCAAAGAAAAAATAATATTTTGTTATGTATGTTATTGAGGACTTGAGGATGTAGTAAAATTTCTGGCTATATTTCACACATTTTAACTGCGTAATGTAACAGTAGTTGGAATCACTTTGTTTAATTTTGAGCTATTTAAAAATGAAAAGGGTCTTGTAATTTTGCAGTATAGTGACTTTAGGGTCTCACAGGGACAAATCACTGAATAGAATTAATAATAAGCTTTTCTCTGAATATAAGTAGGGCCATTACTTATGTAAAAACAATTAGTAATATCTTGACTGCCATAATCATAACTGACGTGAGGGTTTTATTTGCCTCAACTGAGACTCTAGCTATTAAGTGGAATATATATGCAGTGCTAGTGTCTAAGATGTCTATAAAGTCATTTGAAAAATTGGCAACATGAGGCTTTACAGTAGATTATTTTTGATAAGCGTTTGGCTCAGTATAAACTAACTCACTTAGGTGTGTGTAATGTCTTTTCATTTTTTGTTTGCAGTTGATGCTTTTGATACTAAAGCACTTGATGCTATTCTAAAATTCCTTGGAGAACCAGGGCTTTCTACTCCACTTATAACGGCTGGTGAAAGTGAGCCACCTTTAGGCAGTGGAGACCTTATAGGTGAAACATCAGCTTCTGTTACCATCACGCCAAAAGTGAGTTTCATTAACGGAAAGCACGAGTTGACTCTGAAACCAGATACTGACCAAACTCAGGAGGCTAGAGGAGACCAGTTTGACACTGCTATCCCACCAACAGAAAAAAACATCCCCGATGATGAGATAGAAATACTTACGGAGGATGCTGAAGGCACCACATCTTCCCCTGAAACAGACGAATCTGGCTCAACAACCAGAAGCCAAACTGAGCCTCATTTCTCAACAAAGAGCTTGGAAAGTAGAACCATGACAGAGCTGCCCACATTTTCAACCAAATCTCCAAGCCAGGAAATGACCCCACAAGCCATATCATTAAGCATGCACGAAGAAGGTTCGGGGATGCGCACAACAGATGATGATGAGGAACTGACCGCCTTGGAAGGTTCTGCGGATGACACACTTCCAGCAACTAATGACCCATTTGTGGTGGCTACCGACGAGACTGAAATAGCTGAAACAGAGAAGACTACACCGGCATTTGGGGTTGACTGCAATACCAAAGGACCAATTGTTACAACTCCAGAAGCCAGTACTGTAGAAATGAAGACAACAGAGAACAGAAAAATGAAACCAGAAACAGAAGATTTTGAGGGCTCAACCTCCACTGAAGACGAGGGCTCGGGACAAGATATATATGCAACAGAAGAATCAAAACACACAACTTTATCTCCATCTTTCACTGTTTCATCTCACAGCTTTACAAGTTCCTTAACAAGTGCTCATCCCAAAGAGCCAAGGCAACCTGTTAGTTTAGTTTTGCCCAGTACACAGCCTACGATTCGGGTGGTTTCAACTTTTCAAACAGAGGCAATCTCAGAAGAAAGCACTCCTTATATTACACACTCTGAGAAAGACCAAGACACAAGTACAACTAAGAGTCCTTTATTGGTGCCTGAGATTGAAAAAGATGTAAGTACAATCTTCACCATCTCTGAGGACATCAGCTCTGGTGATCAGCCAACTGAAGCATTCTCAAAACAACCTTTCTCTGCAACTACTGTTCCATCCCTTCTCATTCAACAAACTGAAGAAATGAGCGTTGGTGCATATGATGAAGCAACTAAAGTATTTGAAGGTTCTGCAGAAGACACAACACCATTGATTTTCACTAGTGTCCAAACCCAAACAAAATTCACAACCCAAAGTTCAGAATCCACCATTCTGCCCACGGATAGTCTTAGAGCAGTAATGTCTTCCTCCCAAGAAACTGTTCTAATCCAAAAAACACCTTCAGAAGAGGCAACCACCTCGGTGCAGTCATCAGGGACTTCAGGCTCCCAAGAAACTGATTTAATCCAAGAATCACCTTTAGAAGAGACAACCACCTCAGTGCAGTCATTAGGGACTTCAGGCTCCCAAGAAACTGATCTGATCCAAAAATCACCTTCAGAAGAGACAACAACCACAGTGCAGTCATCAGGGACTTCAGGCTCCCAAGAAACTGTTCTGATCCAAGAATCACCTTCAGAAGAGACAACCACCTCAGTACAGTCATCAGGGTCTTCAGGCTCCCAAGAAACTGTTCTGATCCAAGAATCACCTTCAGAAGAGACAACCACCTCAGTGCAGTCATCAGGGACTTCAGGCTCCCAAGAAACTGTTCTGATCCAAGAATCACCTTCAGAAGAGACAACAACCTCAGTGCAGTCATCAGGGACTTCAGGCTCCCAAGAAACTGTTCTGATCCAAGAATCACCTTTAGAAGAGACAACCACCTCAGTGCAGTCATCAGGGACTTCAGGCTCCCAAGAAACTGATCTGATCCAAAAATCACCTTCAGAAGAGACAACAACCACAGTGCAGTCATCAGGGACTTCAGGCTCCCAGGAAACTGATCTAATCCAAAAATCACCTTCAGAAGAGACAACAACCTCAGTGCAGTCATCAGGGACTTCAGGCTCCCAAGAAACTGATCTAATCCAAAAATCACCTTCAGAAGAGACAACAACCTCATTGCAGACATCAGGGACTTCAGGCTCCCAAGAAACTGTTCTGATCCAAGAAACACCTTCAGAAGAGACAACCACCTCAGTGCAGTCATCAGGGACTTCAGGCTCCCAAGAAAGTGATCTAATCCAAAAATCACCTTCAGAAGAGACAATCACCTCAGTGCAATCATCAGAGACTTCAGAAGAGATAACACAAGAAATATCACTTTCTACATTTGGATTCTCAACGGAGAAGCCTCTCACCTCATTTACCCAAGTTTCCAGTTATCCCACCACCAGTGTTGCTACAGACTTAAATGTGAAAGAGCCAGTTCAGGTCTTGGATAGGGCAACTACTTCTGCTACAGAAGATGTTTTCACCACCCCCAAAGCCACAAGAACTGTGGCATTTGAAGAGAATGTTGTAGATTATGAAGATGTGGCGGGTCCCTCAATTGTTGAAGGACAACCACCATCCAGGGAAGAGTTCACCACAAGAAAACCAGAAGTCTGGAGAGATTCCAGCTACACTGTTGAGAGCCATATGGAGGATTTGCAAGGTACAGTTCCACATAATATTTTTGTAACTCACATTGTATATTGCTTATCTTGTGTAGTGCTGTATTGGTAATATCGATAGTTCCTTTCTTGAGGTTTACAAAATAATTGAATTACTCTGCGTTGTAGTCCACTTATCCATAATGGACTTGTCCATCCACTAATAGATGTTACTTTGTTATTTTAGGTCTCACACTTTGCTCTGTCAGTGTGTGTGAAAATGGTGGAACTTGCTATTCTAATGGAAAAGGAAACAAGTGTTTCTGCATGCCTGGATACAGTGGGGAACATTGTGAAAATGGTTTGAAGCCTTTAATATTTGCAGATTTATTCACTTTCGATTAACACGTTTAGAGTTTCTAAGTAAAGTAAGACATTTTCATATTGTAATTCCTCCAGACGTTGACGAATGCCAGTCAAACCCTTGTCGCAATGGAGGAACATGCATTGATGGGTTAAACTCTTTAAGTTGTGTCTGTCTGCCCAGCTATTCAGGACCCCTCTGTGAGCAAGGTATGAAATCAACACTAACATGATGCTATACAGTTGTTTTATTGGGCTTATATATGAAATTCTTGAAGGACTGTTTTTTTTGGGCAACTAACTGTGGACTGTTGCATGATAGCAAGTTGCTGAGTGATTTTATCACGTCACGCTAACGCATAATGCCTATTGTATCTTCTGGTTTATTTTTGAAATGTCGCAATGATTGCATATTTTAAACATTTATCTGCATGATTGCCTGATAGGTTTCCATTATAAGTGGAAGAAAATATAACTCTTAAAATATTGTTAGGAGCTGTTGGATGAAATATGTTATGATTTAGGGTGCTAGTTTCTAAAAAGTGAGCTATGGCTGTTTAATAAATCCACCGAAGCAAATTGTATACATTATAGCGGTCAGTCCAAACAGTTAGAATGGGCAAACCAAACCACAAAGTTCACCACATCTGGCAGGCTTCATCCTCCAGAGGGTGTGCGGTATGGTGTCCATAGGAATGAAAGCACATTTGTGCCAACAATAGGGTTCAGAGAAAAGGTCACGGAGTCAGTGACAGTACTGCCTCTTCCCTTACACCCACCACACTTCTCACAAATGCTGAGCAATTCGATGAGCCGTTGCAGAGCCAGCTGACTTACTTGGCATGGTCCCAGGAACATTAGTGTGACTATGTAAATGATGAGTACATTTTCCTTTAGTCGCCTCGTCATACTTATCCAGGCATGACTTGAGTAGGTCCCACATTTAGGTTGTGACTTTTAGAAGACTTTGGAAACTAATTCAAGCCAGCTTGAAATGACGTTTGCAAAACACTGAACTTCTGTAATGTGTGTATTTTAGTGGAATATTAAGCAGAAAATTATTTGATTGGGTTGAAATTGACATGTCTTGCTATGATATTATTAGCAGTGCTTGCTAAGGCAATAGCAATAGACCGGCTTAGATCTACATCTAGTTGCATTGAAAATTGGGTTCAGAGAAAAGGTCACGGAGTCAGTGACAGTACTGCCTCTTCCCTTACACCCACCACACTTCTCACAAATGCTGAGCAATTCGATGAGCCGTTGCAGAGCCAGCTGACTTACTTGGCATGGTCCCAGGAACATTAGTGTGACTATGTAAATGATGAGTACATTTTGCTTTAGTCGCCTCGTCATACTTATCCAGGCATGACTTGAGTAGGTCCCACATTTAGGTTGTGACTTTTAGAAGACTTTGGAAACTAATTAAAGCCAGCTTGAAATGACGTTTGCAAAACACTGAACTTCTGTAATGTGTGTATTTTAGTGGAATATTCAGCAGAAAATTATTTGATTGGGTTGAAATTGACATGTCTTGCTATGATATTATTAGCAGTGCTTGCTAAGGCAATAGCAATAGACCGGCTTAGATCTACATCTAGTTGCATTGAAAATTCTGTCATTGATTACTCACTCTCATGTCGTTACAAACCCGCAAGACCTTTATTCATCTTCAGAACACAAATTTAGATATTTTTGATGAAATCTGAGAGCTTTCTGACCCTCCATAGAGAGCAATGTAACTGAAATGTTCCCAGACCCAGAAACATTGAACATTGTTAAAATTATCCATGTGACATGTTCATGTATATTTTTGGTTATTTGTACACATAAAAGTATTTTTGTAGCGTCATAAAAATTACAGTTGAACCACTGATGTCTCATGGACTATTTTCACAATGTTCTTAGTATGTTTCTGGGTCTGAGAACATTTCAGTTACATTACTGTCTATGGAGGGTGAGAAAGCTCTCGAATTTCATCAAAAATATCTTAATTTGTGTTCCGAAGATGAACAAAGGTCTTACGGGTTTAGAATGACATGAAGGTGAGTAATTAATGACAGAATTTTCATTTTTGGGAGAACTATCCCTTTAATAGTCTAAACTTTATTTTTTAAAAGTCAGTTACATAAAAGGCAGATTGGTATAATTTAAATCCCAACAGTAAGACTGATTACCATTTGGTTAACTGCTAGATGTTCAGACTAGTGGTTCTTGAGAGACAGCCTTAACATGGTGGCTATGTTTATGCAACTGGAATATCTTAAAGACATGGGAGTGGATCTAATAAGTAACCACTTAGAATACCCTAGCAACCACCTAAAATTCCAAAGCAACCACAAAGCAATGTGCTTAAACACCACTGAGAAGACTTTAGCAATCCTATAGCAACTGAACTGTGTACAATAAAACCAAGGACATAATTTTTGGTCATTTTTGGTTGGTTTGTTGGATATCATGATCTAACAATAAACTATTTTTAACAGCATTTAATAATCGAGCATGATGTTAATTTATACAAACGGAAATGTTAAATACTGTATGTATTAGTATACTGTATGCAGAAGTTAAGCTTAAAGGATGCTTTAAAAGTGTTTTTCCTTGTTTTTTTGTGTTAGCTATTGATTTACAGAACTAATGTGAGCATTAGTTATGTTACCTTATTGTAATATGATACCAGGTCTTCATATTATCTTTCAACTATTACATGAGGCTTGAAGGGGGAACAAAGTAGGTGCCAAATCTGCTGTCACTCTGATGATTTAGTCTGGTGATTGGCTTGCCATTGTTCTATGTAGGCTTTGATATGCATTAAATGGAAATAAAAATTAATAATGTGAGGTTTCAAATCACATTTGCATACAGTGAGAGTCTTCTTGGCATTCAGGTTGAGCCTTGTTTCACAGTTAGTTTTCATTACCCATCAAAATGCTCAGTGAAGCACTTCAAATATGAGAACATCCCTTTTGGATGGTCTGTTGTGGTTTTAACTATGACAAACAACTCGTAAAAAAAGAAAACTCTGAATCTCTTTTCACATGGCTGTGGACAGTCTTTGAGGATTATGAAGTCAAGCCATTCTCCTCTGATGACGTGAAGCAGGGCTGGGATTGATTCTGACAAGGGTTTCTTGGCCCTTCTTTGCTGTTCCCTCACTTGTGAAGGTGAAGACCCTTAGGACTCTGGGAAGGCGACTGTGATTGGCACAAGGGTCTTTACTGTGAAAGCAGCTGGAATCAATTAATGCATCACAATTTGTCCAAGAGGCTCGTGGAGACAAACCACAGTATAGAAACTCCCAAACACCTGACTCCATCTCACGTAGGACTTTCCCTGCAATGAAAATAATCAGTTGACTTATGAATGAGAGCCACGTTTTCACTTTGAAGAGAGCTATTAACCTTCTCAGGACTTGACATTTACGCGCACTCGCACAGGCTTGACGGTCATGTTGGGCGTTGGTCCCCCAATGGATTGGTTCCAGCTTCATACAAAATATTGCTGCCATTAATCAGCAGAGCTAATCTTCTCCATGCATAAACATCACCTCTGAGGACATCTGTTTTCTCAGGCTTTTTAGCCAAAGATCAGGGGAAATCGTAAAAAGTTGAACTCTCGCTTTTCACGTAATGTAAAAAATAACCTTATTTCACATTTAATACAGTTGTGTTTAATCAGTGAAGCTGAATTTGGACCTTTGGTGATGAAGTTGAAAATGTTTCATCCGAAGCTGCTGCATTAAACCTTGCGATAGTGTGATAAATACAGTATTTTAGCCAAACAGCATGAGACAGAACTGAACTGAACTGACAGAACTGGAAACCAGAACCTTGTCGTTTTATTATTTATTTCTGACAAAGAGCCAAAGTTGCATGTAACCGCCAGTTTCTAGACACTGACTAGTGGTTAAAGTAGTTTTCCTGATTCGATCCATTGTTACTTCTAGGTCTCGCAAAATAAGTAGGCAATTTAAAAACCACCAAAGTCATGGATATTTTGTTAATATTTGCTCTGACCATAATTTCACTACCATTTTTTTTTTTTTACTAAATGCTATGCATCATGACATATTACACTTGGTCAATTCGGTTAAAATATTTGTTGTGATTTAACATGGCTTTAAAAAAATATGCAACTTAAGACAACTGAAATTGGAGGAACAATTTACATTCTCAAGTAGATTGAAGATTTGGATATTATTGTAGCAATTATAATAGATTTTCAGTGGCGCTTGCTAATGTACGTGCACTATGCTACGAAAGCAGTTCTGATAATCTACTGGACATTCAGGGCAAAGGACGAAGCGAGCACATAATAGTACGTAATCAGTTAAAGAAAACAGCACTATGGGCCGTGTGTCTGAGATGATTTACTTGGCCTCATTTACTGGTGTTTTCTTTCCAGCCTCATTAGATGTCATTGTTTGCATTTAGCTTTCACACTGAGCACTGCGGTCATTGGGGGGTTTCAGTCCAAGCAAAATGTTGATGATCCTCATTGTATGGCATAGAAGAAAAAGTGCTTTGCACTAGGTTAACCCAGTTAATGGCCGAACTCAAAACAGACACGGTTCTGTGTGTCTATTCTGCACCATAACCGATTCTACCTGATCTGAAAGACAGGCTTGTTTATGGTTAATGCTGAAGAAAATGGGTACAGATTCAATCATGAGACGTCTTTACTTTGATAAACTATGGGCACTGTGATGCTGCCTGTAGCTGTATCATGATGAATTACAAAAGCATCTGCCATTTGAATTTGGATGCACTGATATGGCTAACATTATGGATGCTATCCAAAGTTTTGCTGTTATCCTCATTTGTAGGCTTCTCATGTTTCAATGTCATTCAATCTTTCAGATACGGAGGTTTGTGACTTTGGCTGGAACAAGTTTCAGAGCCACTGCTATAAGTACTTCACACACCGGCGGACATGGGAAGCAGCGGAAAGAGAGTGTCGTCTGCAGGGCGGTCACCTCACCAGCGTCCTGTCCCATGAAGAGCAGCTCTTTGTTAATCGTGAGTTTATGATTTTATAGAGTTTATGAATGGTATTGGCAAAGCAGACATCAGTCATTTTATTGCTCACTCTTGATAGGGCCTGAACAAACCATTAACTCTTTTACTTTGTTACTCTTTCAGTATTGTATAGAGTGCTGTAGATGACGTATTTTTGTAGGCCAAACCAGAAAAACTCTCAGACACCAACAAACGTTTTTAATTGTTCAGCATGATAATCTTCAGAATTGAACGCAACGTTTATGAATTCTAAAGCCTAAATGCAATTGGTAGAAGTACAAAGCTAAACGTAGGCTATAAAGGAACTAAAACATGTTTGCATGACATTTTCCCTGACAATCTGAGTTAGAATAGTTTGCAAAAGCATGATTCTAAACACAATGAGGCTGTAAAAGCAACTAGTTAAGCGTGATGTTTTATGTCCCGACGAAATTGTCTTGTAGGCTTGGGACATGACTATCAGTGGATCGGACTGAATGATAAAATGTTTGACAATGATTTCCGCTGGACTGATGGACACCCTATGGTAAGATGGGATTCATTATTTTGATCCTAAAATGTCTGTTTATTAGATGAACATCTGTGTTCCAGGTGACCATGAATTCAGATATTAAGATTCAGATACGAGTCATTTTTGGCGTGTTGTTTTTTTCCGGCCTGAATAAATGAGGTTGTTTGATCCTAAAATTAGTGCGAAGCAATTGTGCACACACAGTTATCAAAATCACAGTATAAAAATGTGTTCCATAAACCATAAGCTTAGATGAAGTAGATGAAGCTAATGCTAATGGAAAAGTTCTCACTTTAGCATTTTATCATTCTGTGTGGTATCACATAGAGGCACATCACATGAACTTTATTTATTTATTTGCTTTTTAAAATTGATTTCTGATCATTTATTTATTCATTTAGCTGTTTTATTCATCGTTTATTTACTTTTTTATTTGAGTGATTTTATTCATGCATTTTTATGTATGCATGTATTTATTTATTTCCTAAAATAGCATAAATCAGAATGCAAAACTGCTAATTTTGCAAATACTCAATTTTTGCAAAAACATTCAATTGATTTTGATGATCTTGCGTCATCATGCATATTTGATATTTATTTGATTTGTTGTATGCCTTTCTACATATGAAATGGGGCTTGAGTGTTTGTGTTCAACCCATGCAAATTGCATGCGGCAGTACATTTGATTAGAATAACGTAGCATCCCTTTCCCCCCATTTTATCAAGGTAAGTCCCATGTAACCCTGCCAGATGTGTATGGAGCACAGTCTATTTTGATTCTTCCATGTGATCTTTGCGCCCTCATGTGGGCACATGCAGTGGTGCAAGAGCAGTTGGAATAACACCCCCCCTCCCCCCTTTGTACTTTTGCACTAGCAATTTGAGAACTGGAGAGCGGGTCAGCCGGACAGCTTCTTCTCCACAGGCGAGGACTGCGTTGTGATGATCTGGCATGAGAGCGGCCAGTGGAACGATGTGCCGTGCAATTACCACCTGACCTTCACCTGCAAGAAGGGCACAGGTGAGACCTCCTCTTCCCCTCATCTAATCTACAGTGTCGCTCACTGTCAGCTCACTGTCTTTGACCTTCTTTTGCCTCTGTCTCAGTGTCCTGCGGTCAGCCTCCTGTCATAAAGGATGCCCAAATCTATGGCAGCATGAAGGCGCGCTATGAGATCAACTCTCTGGTCAGGTACCACTGCAAGGACGGCTTCATCCAAAGACACGTTCCCACTATCAGATGCCGAGAAGACGGCCACTGGGACAAGCCCAAAATCACATGCTTGAATCGTAAGTCACTGGCTCTGAATAAATAGATGTTTAGTGAAATCCAGTCATGAAATGCACTAGTATTATTTTAGTATTATTTATAATAACATTTTATATAAAACATTTTGAATTAGTCTTTATTTATATATTTTGATTTTGTTATGCTTTTGTCATTTTTATAATTGTTTTTATATATCTATACATTTATTTGTATATCAGTTATTTATTTCAGTTAGTTAATGTCTTACTCAAGTCAAGACATATTGAAATACATTTTTATTTTTAATTCCACTTTAAGGATTAGTTCACTTCCAGAATAAAAATTCCCTGATAATTTACCTAAACCCATGTCCTCCAAGAGGTTCGTGTCTTTCTTCAGTCGAAAGAAATTTTTCCAGCCAGCGGGTTGAAGGTCCAAATTGCAGTTTCAGTGCAGCTTCAAAAGGCTCTACACGATCCCAGCCGAGGAGTAAGGGTCTTATCTAGCAAAACGATTGGTCATTTTCAAAAAAATAAAAAAAATTTTTTAATTGATATACTTTCTAGACACAAATGCTCATCTTACACTAGCTCGACCTCACGCATTACATAGTCACATTGGAAAGGTCATGCGTGACATTGGCAGAAGTACCGGCCCAGTGTTTACGAAGCGAAGGTGCAAAAAAAGTCAAATGCCCTTTACAAAAAAAGGTAAAACAACAATGTCGGACGATTTTGAAGTAGAAGGAGAAAGTGAAATGGAGTTTTTCGACCTATCCTACCTTTTTGAACCGAGGTACACAGATGAAGAACTAACCATGCGTGACCTGTCCAATGTGATTTTGTAGTGCATGAAGTTGCGCATGCACATTGCAGAGCTAGTGCAAGATGAGCATTTGTGGTTAAAAAGTATACAATTTTTATTTTTTTTAGAAAATGAGCAATCATTTCGGTAGATAAGACCCTTATTCCTCAGCTGGGATTGTGTAGAGCCCTTTGAAGCTGCATTAAAACTGCCATTTGGACCTTTAGCCTGTTGGCCGCCATTGAAGTCCACTATATGGAGAAAAATCCTGGAATGTTTTCCTCAAAAAACTTTAATTTATTTGTGACTGAAGAAAGAAAGACATGAACATCTTGGATGACATGGGGCGGTGAGTAAATTATCTGGAAATTTTTATTCTGGAAGTGAACTAATCCTTTAAGAAAGAATGTCATGTGGTTTTGGATTGGAAGTGAGGACGAGGAAATAATGACAGAATTTTCATTTTTGGGTAAACTAACCTTTTGAATTAACATCTCTTTTTCCTTTTATTCTGCAGCATCTACCTACCAGAAGATGTATGCACACAAATATCAAAACAATAACTATTACAACAACAGTAAGAGACGCTATAGCGAGTCGACGCAGTACCGTCATGTCTGGTCAAAAACAGCAGATGATTCCAGACACTGATCTCCATCCAGAGCTACAGATGCTTCACGTCTACAGAGAAAGTCTAAAGGGGCGAAGCCAAACCATGTGCCTGATGAATGTTTTAGAGCCGAGAAGTGAATTACCCTGAGGGACTGCAAAAAAACACCATCACCCACCCACTGAGAGTGTACTTTGACTATGCAACAGTCAACATTGCATATTGTAATAATGTCTTAATGTTTTGACATGGGGAGGGGGGTTGAATGGGGGGTGAATGGTGACTGTTATTTAGTTTAATTCATCCATAACTTTTGCTTACGAAGAACTGGATTTCCTGTTCTCTCTGGCACAATAAGAGTGCACTATGGTACGAGCAGAGTATAAACAGAACAATTACAGTACGCAAGAGTAAAAGAACAATAGGCATTATATTGTTTCACATTGTGGTGAGGGGGGTTCAAAAGAGATGTCACGGGGCTGGAGGACAAACAATGCTGAAAGGACTGCAAATCATGACTGGAAAACAAATCTTCAACATCGTCTTCCCCGGCAGCATCCTCACTGGTTGTGAGGATTACTCAGATAACATCAAACGATTGTACACTCTCATAATCATATTCTCATATGGCATCAAAATATATATTTCCGGTGTTTGTTTTTTAATATGTGGGTTTGTAATATAACCATTTTTACTTTTTTTATATATATATATATATATATGAATGTCATGATAAAATATGAAAATATGAATACTGTATGTGTGGTTGAATGAACTAGCATTTTTGTCAAACATTATTACAGATGTTACATGAAGCCATAGAAGTTTAATTTATTGCTGAAGATACATATAACGATGAATGAACTGTGAGATTTGAATAATAAAGCGCTATTAGAATATTATGAACACGTTTAAACCGTGTGTGTTCTAGTTTGATTGCATTTCCCAAAATTCCCGCGCTAATTCTGACAGAAACCGCCGCTACCATGGTGTTGACCAAAAGAGGGCGATGTAACGGTTACGTTGATTTTTTTTTACGTTTTTTTGAAGTTTACATTGTGACCGTAGTGAAAAGACACCTGCTCTGTTTTGACGACTTTCTAATCGACTAACGTGCTAGCGTTGCAAGGTAAGGACGTGGAAGTTTAAAGGGGAACATTGTTCAATGTTCATTTTGAGATTACATCTTTTAACTCTGGGAAGCTTCTGGTGTGTTTTCTGAGTGATTTGGCAAGCAAAATAACATTTAGACTACGACTGTTTCTTTTTACCTGAATAACTGAATAGCACAGTGGCCATGGCCATATTTAGTTATTGTAGTTTTGTGGCATTATTCCATGTTTGTGGGCCAACTTTCTGTATGTGCTAGTCAGATTGTGTATTTCTAAAACTGACCAAACTTTTTAGTTGCTCCATTTCGTCTGAGAAAACGGACCAAAAGTATTAGTGACTCTTCTAGATTGATTATTGCACGTTAGGTGTGTATACACAGTTTTGTCCAATAAAATGGTCATTAGAAATATGTCTGCTCCTAATACCATGGAGTATCCTTGGAGAAAACTATCTGTTAGATTTTTAGAGACAGTGAATGAGAAAAATCATAACGCTTAATATGGTAGCTATACTCATGGAAGTACCACCTTTAAAAGGTTCAATTGCCTGTTATTTACAGTAAACACACAGTTGAATAAGGTAGACAAGCTTTTGCAGAGAAAGAAACAATGTTTGTGATGCCATCATTGTCAGATTTTTCTGGTTTGAAAGATATGATTAAACCGTTTTAAGAGTTTTTGAGCTCTGCAACCTTTTGCCTGCAATAATGCTCTTGGGCTTTTAATTCTGAGGACATTTTTTTTTATTAAGCCAGTCACCTGATTTCTATTTTCCTTGCAATTTCTTTATTTTGGCAGAGTGTGAGAAATGCCACAGACTGTAAAAACTAGACCTCTGTAATTTTTACATAATTTCTCAGTGTGCTTTTCTAAAAACAACCAAACCAAATATGTATTTGACCAATTGTTTATTTTTTGGGTCAAGGGGGTTTTCCACATTGATACAGTCAAATTATCCCTTTAATTATACTTTATGTACATGAAACAAGAGTGAAAAATGTTAACATCGTCTATGAAGACATGTCTAAACATTCAGTTCTAAAACTGATTTTGAAGATTTGTAAACAAGGCATACCTACAGTTGCCAGAGTCAAAACAACATGAATAATGAATGTGAATACAGTATTTTGAAACAACAAATATTTAGAACTTTATTTTTTCATTTTTTTCCCCCGTGGAGCTGGTCATATAGTGTAGTGGCTGAAACACATGACCTTGAGTTCTAAATTGGCTGTGTTCAGCCTAATGGTAATAATAATAAGAATAAAACATCAAGTTGTTTTTGTCTTAGCTTGGCAGTCTGTTTTAATGGTTTATTTCCAAATGCCATGGCTTTGACATGTTCTTCTGAAGGTCTACTGCTTCATAGACTAATAACGACTGAATGCAGCATGCTAACTATGCACTTTTTTGTTGTGCCATTATTTTTTTTGCGTCGTCTTTGAGTAAACCTTTTCCTGCAAGGTCTTTTTTTTCAACAATAGAAAATGAAGTTCATTGTGCTGTTTTTCTTTTACTAAGTAACACAAAGTGATCATTAGCACTGTTGTCTTTTTAACCACTTCAGTCTTGCTATTCGTAAACGGTAACATGCATACACTAAAACTACTCATCACATGTGCTAGAAACTGGGCCGTGTGCTTTTTTTTCCGCACAACTTCTTCTAGTAAAATAATTTGTACTAACATTTGTTTTAACATTTGGCACCATTGCTATGGGCTATGTTTGAGGATAGGTTTTCTGTGGTTTCATGATTTGATCAGAAATACTAAAAACAAGTTCTCGAAAACAAACCAAGATTTACTTTTGAAACACAATGGTTTTGTTATTATGTCTGTGGTATGAACCACAGATTTCTTCATCGTCCTGAACACAAAGAACGTTTGACAGTGACAAGGTCGATACAGTGGAGCTCTTAATTTCTTACATTGTGTCGTAGGGGAGGCATTGTATAAACACATAGTTTCAAGAAAAAGATCATTAACATACATTTATAAACACTCTACTTGTATATTTCAATAGTTAAAAAAATCACAGAACAATGTTTCGTTTCTTAACAATGTGACTTATGACTCAACATGGTTTGGTCCACACATAAAACTAAATTTAAAAAGGTATGCTTTTAGAAAATAATACAATATAGCACCCTGTAAGGATGGCAAAAGAAAAAATTGTGTACATTGTGCCATGGCTGTACTGTATGGTTTTTAGCACTTTCATTGAATTAGTTTTCCTGTTAACAGAAAATATATTTTTCACATGCTATTTATATGGGATATGATGTTATTGAATGATAAACTAAGTGCCCAAAGGTATCAGTTCTAAGTATTTAAGCTTTGCTGTCATACTGTTCTAGAACATTCCTCAAGCTACTGCATGCTAAATGGAAGAGCGCAGTGCGAATTTCTTCTGCAATCTCACCAAATATCTCTTCCTTCAGCACTGCTGTACTGTATAAGATCATTCAGACCTGGAACCAGTAGCTATAATTTCTGCGGCACCCAATGAATACTATTCCTGTCCTGTTGCCTTCTTGTAGCAAAGTCCTGATTTTGAAGGAAGAGGACGCCTGAGGTGCCTCCTAATCCTACAGAATCTTTGCTTCAAACAAACGCCAATCACTTATTTTATATTCAAATCCTTCTGTATTACAGTATCTAGAGACTTTGTCACAGTTTTAATGCACTCAAACTAACTCCTTACATTATTACGCTTAGTTCGTGAGTTATACAGTTGGTACGCTCAGTTGTCTCTCTTGTAGCAGTAGACGCCGTAGAGTTTGTGCTTCTTGTCTGGGAATCCAGAGAAGCGGACGGTGGCCTCCGTGGGACTGCAGCGTCTGCGTGGTCTTGAGATTGGGTAGCGTACACTGCCATCCGCCAGCCAGCCTGCGTCACAGCGGTCGTAGCCCAGCAGCTTCCACGCTGCGTACATCTGCCCGACTTTAGCGATCTGAGCGCCGTCCTTTTGACACGCCCGCACTGCCTCGTCATACGTAAGTTTGAAAGGGTGTATCAAGTAATAGAAACGTCCTAGAGAAGAGAAAGGGGAAAAGTGTTTATTCTCAAATAATATGCAGTAAGGGTATTAAACATGAGGAAGAGAATTTTCATTAGAGATTCTTTGCATGGCTGAACTCAATTTGTTTTTTCCTTTCATACATTATGTATCACATCAATTGCTTTACTTTTTTTTGGAGAAGCTAGCCTATTTCAGATGTCTTTCAAACGGTGGGGAGGACAAACCTTTGTAGTTAGAGGTGAAACAGAAGACATCATATCTTTCCTTTTGCTTGTCACGCATCCCATAATTCCTCACACCAGGAATGGTGTTTTTGCCTCCACATGGCTCTCTGGGTTTGGTGATGGGGTACTGCACCGATCCGTCACTGAGCCACCCTGCATTGCACCAATCCATCCCATCTCTCCATGCATCGTACAGCTGGTCAAAAGATGCCACGATGGCATCCTGGTCTCGGCAAGCTTTCTCAGCATCAGCGAAGTTCAGGTTGTAACGACCCAGTCGAGGAAAATATGGGAAAACAATGCCTGTAGAAACCCCGAAGAGCAAAAAATTTATGAAATTGCATTTTTTGCATATAGGAATCTTTAAAAATGCTCCCTGATTAGATCTGTGTAATCTGGCGATAATCAAATTCTTGACTGATAAGTCGATGTTTTCTTCAATGCATCATCTAAAGTAAATTTAAAATTTAGATTTATTGTATGCAACTGAAATGATGCCAAGAATGCAGAGAGCAAGGACCAAACAAATGTCCCATTATTTGACAATGATAGCTCTTATGTCAGGATCTTGCTGATGGTCTAGATTTATAAGTTGTTCTACTCTGCGTTATAAGACTATTGAATAGCGTTTACATCGCACACAGTGTGAAGAGAGTCAGCACAATGCTATCTCATAGCTAACTGCCTTGAGGAACAGCCAAGGATGCATAAACTGTGTATAGTATTATGTGTATTATTCTGGAAAGAAAACAGCCAGTCATACAATGGCATTGTCGCTGTTTTTTCATTTTTCATTTTTTCAACTTGTGCTAACTTGTGTACCTATCTTAAGTTATGTTTGAAGGAAGCAGGATATGTACACAAAATATTAATATAACCTAATGACAACTGTCAAAGACATGATTTTTTTTTGTAAAGATTATTGTTGGGTGCTGGTCTACATGGTAGTTGTGCCTAGTCATGTTGTTCACCAGCAAAACTAAAAAAAAAAAAAAAGATTAAACTGTTTGACCCAGGAAATCTTGCTAGTCAATCTATTTTTAAAGCATGGTATAGTGACATTACCACACCAGCATCTAAATCCTCAGGAACAAAATTAAAACAACCTGTGAGACATTGTGGTAGTGCTTGGCTAAATGTCACTAGAGAGACCAGGAAAATCCAGGTATGTTAGCAACATAAATCTATGCTTTACCTTGCAGGTCAAGTGAGACAACTGCTGTATCATCCTCCAAGCCATCAATGATTTCACACTTGTATTTCC